TCGTGAACGAAACCCCTCGAGTCATTCTCTTGCACGACTCAACTGACCCCAATGTGGCGTCTTGAGTAGAGTGCGTAGTACGAGCTGGAAATGTATTTATGAAACCAGGAGGGGTCGATGTATCACTGGCCATTCGCGACGATGATTGTTGCACACACGCGCCACGGGGCAGCCCTTAATAGCGCGATACCTCACCTTTTACCGTCGCTTTTTATCGCACTCGGGACGCCTCGAGCGGGGGAGAAGAAGAAAAAACGAGTCGAGGTGTGGGTGATGAAATGGCTCTTCCGGGGCGTGGGGGAGAAGACGCCGCGATCGGTACAACTTTTAATCGAACGGATAATATCTTCCGGTGTCTTGGTGAGATTAGTATAAGTGCCCGCCCGAGCAGGGGAAACTCCATTTTCGAAAGTCATTTTTTTTTTTAACTTTATGGAAACTTGTCGATTTGTTGTTTACCGAAGCTGTTTCCGCGATGTTGATATTCTACGTGCTCCTCGAGTTTCGAAACAATAGGCAACAAAACCAAGTAAACCGCCACGCGAATTTACGAGCGCGACCAACGAAACCATCACAGTGGGAAGCCTTTCCTCGTCAAAGTGCGGGTTAGAGACTTAACATTACAGGGCAAATGAAGCCAATTAATTTAGAGCCGACTGAAATTACCGCAGGGACCGAGTACACACTCGCTTCCAGTTCAGGGGAGTATCGCACGCTATATCTGCACGCTAATACAGTTGCAACAAAAGTTGTACGCAGGAAACGCACCGCCACCGTTTTGTACTAGAGGAGTAAAATTACACCTTCCCCGCTTATACACACGTGTCGCTGTTACGTCGAATCATGAGGTAATTGTTTTCCCAATAACCCGCGATGGGACTAGATGCCGGTTCTCGTGGGTCGCATATAGCCCAGCCCGGATGTATGTATAATATGTATAAGCAGTGGACCAACTCGAAGACCGAGGGAGCAACGTACTCCATGGATTCCCGATTCGTGCTTACGCGTGAAGGCTCTTTCCCTTGGCACAAATAATAGACTCATGTGTGTTTTTTCTTTCCCTCCTACGAGTCCTACGTGTAATTTTATGCGTCACGGAACGGAATACCAATGAAGCCGGCCGGTACCGCTGGTATGTTTTATTTCTCAGGCAGCGTCCGAGCTCGTTCCGGGAAAAATTTAATATTTGACCGGGTTAAACAGTCCGAGGGCGATGAATACTGCGCGGAAAAAGGTGCTTTTTTTTTTTTTTTTTTTTTTTTTTTTTTTCGGGACCCGGACAAACTTGGGCGTGCAATTTTAATTGCTCGCCGGATGCGACGGAACTTTTGACAAAAGGCCGCGTTTGTGTGGCTCTGCTCGCTCGTAAGGTGCGTTCAACAACACACTTTTTACCGAAAGAGACAAAAGCTCAGTGGCGATGGAAATAAATTTCGGAGCTTTCATTGCGGTGGCTCCTTTTTTTTTTTTTTTTTTTTTTTTCATCCCTTCAAGGCACGCGACCGCATGTGCACGCAGGGTACTTTTTAACCATTAATTTGTTCTTCCTCGTTTTTACTCGTCGTAGTTATACGTTGGAGGCGCGATGAAAGTTTCATTCGTCTCCGGGGAAGTGGGGTAAGGCACGAGATATGGGCATGCCGAGGCACTAAAATCAAGGCAGTATAAGTATACCCCCGTTATGTATTGTTTTACCCGCACCTTTTGTTACACACACGTACGCGTGAGTGATGGACCGAGGGATATGTCAGCGTCGCCGAGGGAGCGTTTCAGGGTCGACACTATCATTTTACTGACAAGAGCGACATGTTTGTTTTGTTGTTATACCTTTGATGTCCCTGTACTTTTTTTTTGGAGAGCGACACTACAGACCAATATAACGGCCATCCGTCATTTCTAAGGTAATTGTTAAAAATATATGTAACGAGGAATCACGAGTATATCTTGATATCTTTCGTCAAATTTACGTTACTGTATATTTTTGCACCCAACATAAAATCCCAGAAGAGGGGATAATATACAATTAATGTTGAAGCTAGGATTCCCTAAATCGAAAATTGCCGAGTGTATACGTACATAGGAGAGAGGGTGTAGCTCCGCAGCGAAACAAAATCAATCTCGGCCCGAAACACCGCTGGGGGACTTTGATAATAATTTAAGCGCGCCCTTCGTGCGGCAACCGTAACGATAACCTCGGCCTTCCTCTGCCTCATATACACACACACGCGCAATTTATGGTACACAGCGAACAACTTCTCGGCCAAAAGTTGCGCGTAGGAGGCAAACGCACTTACACCTGCGATGCACCGTCCATCGCGTTATCCATCCCCTTTACCACGCAACTCGCTCACTTTTCTCGCTTCACTTGCTCCTCATTGTTTAAGGAAAAATACAAGTAAATTCACCTCGACATATAAATACGCTCTCCTCCATCATGCAAATTAACGTCACGCGTATACAGCGTGTTATCGAGAAAAAGGGTACGTATACTCACGTGGGGTGCAAGAGCGCGCGGTATCAGCTCTCACGGAGTTGTAATTAGCGCTGGGATGATTAAATTTTCACTCGAGAGGTGTTTTATTATTACCATAGCAAATTGTGCCAGATGAGCAGTAGGTATGTACATTGGGCAGGTACCGCAAACTTGTAATCTACCTGTACTCGAGAGATCCAGGCAAATTGAAATTAAAATCCAAAGCGACCGATGCTTGCGCCTGATTCCGTAATCGCGAGTGAGAAATAATGAATGCGCGCCAAGAGTGGGTCTTGATTGAAATTATCGATTCGGAGAGTGCGATGCACCTGTGTACGAATCCCTCGGTGTCTATGACGCGCGATTCGATCGATCGGCTGGCCTTGTGTGATACATACCTCGCGTCGAGAGTAAAAACCCACAAGTGCGTTATTTTACGAGAGTGTATCCGAGGGAGCATAAAGTTTCGGGGTATACCATTGAAGGCGGTAGGCGATAGACTCTCGCCACCTCTAGAGGCCGTAAAGGCGGTATCAAATCATCATCCCGCCACGCAAATGCCCCGGCGAACGTTCCAGGCGTGGAATGATAAAAAGAAGCGACGCGCCGTAGGAGCCGTAACCCCCTATAGAGTCGTCCCTTCAACGTCCTTTGGATATAGCGCGTATAGTGGGGCGTCGGTTGACTAAAGTTTCGCTGCACAACTGCGACGATCGCCGCGTTTTACGATACGAGCCAATTGACGGGAAACAATACAGTCGCGATTGGCGTGAGTTAGTCCGTGCAGCTATAAACGATACACGATTGTTTGACCGGCCGGTGTGTATTGCTTTGTGCAGGTGTCCGTGATTTGGTTACTCGAATCACTGCGCTGTAGTTTCGTCGTGCAAATTGCACCGGAATATCCGGCAAAGTTTGTTTCGGCGATTGCTTTCGATCCATTGATTCAATTTTTTCTTCGGTACGATAAGCTTTCCCGTCGAGTGGTATAGGTATACGCGAGTTTCAGACATTTCAGGCCCAAGTTCGCGCGGGAGCTCCCGCCACTGGAATATTATGGAATCTTGAAAACTCGACCCCTTCCCCTGCATTGCGGGACTTGAGATTGCCGTGGATAGTTGAGACGCTGATATTAATTTGGAATCGTGGAAAATTTACCGTGAAAGCGTATATATGTATATCCAAAGGATATGTGCCACACATTTTCCGGGTTAGTTGTGTTGGCCCTTGCATATGTCTAGTTTTGCGTTATCGGGTGATAACATCGCGGTTCGTTATTTTTCAAATTCCCATCCAATCGTACTCGCGTCAAAATCACCAAAAATCCATTCGACCGAGCCATCAAATGCACCGACAAAGTTGTAATGCACGTCAATCCCCGATCGATTTACATGGAAATAAAAAAAAAAAAGGTCGCAACAGCTGTCCACTGGCGTGTACGTGACGGTGACGCTGATTGTCCGATCGCTCGTGCAAAATAACGGCGACCCTCCTCTCTACCCGGTATTTTTGAAAACACCTACGCGTCCTGTCGCCACGTGTCACTCCCTAATTTTTTTTTTTTTTTTTTCTTTTGTTACGGACACGGTAAAATTTAAAATCCAGTTAAAACCGCAAATGCCGCACTCCCCGTCCTGCATAACGAATATCATATCGCCTGATTTGCAATTCTTTCGATGAAAATCACCCCAATCTCGAATTCACGAGTCATATGCATATATACGTAGGCACCGCCACCTGTGCGAGTTGGCAAATTCGATGAACGCACGAGCGCTCGCTACTGAACGTACATAGGTATACCAACGGAGTTTCCCCCGCAACTTTGTCCGCGAGCAAAATTAATCGAATCGGGCAAGTTGGTCGGGACTCTTTTAAATCTGTCCGTATCGTGCAACGACGAGCGTCAACTTTTACACTCCGTAATCATCAATTAACGACGCGCCCGCGGCTTAACCCGATTACCCGGAACAGCTGCGCGACTCCCGATAAGCCGGCACTGACGTCAAAAAGCACGAGAGGAAAAAAAAAAACACCCCCCCTATCGGCCAAGCGATCGCAGAGTTTTTTTTTCCCTCTGTATACGAGAGAGATACCACGCGCAATATCTCGGCTCGTCTCCCATCGGGAGACAAAAGGTGGCTCGCGTTACGCGAAAGTCGATTTTCTCACCCTCGGAACTTTCATCTTCCGGCACAACGCTACTCCGACACTCGATACGAGCTGGCAGCGGGATCTCGATTGAAAGGGCTCTTTTGCAGCTTGTATGCTCCTCTCCCCCCCCCCTGATCACACGTGCACGTCAAAACTGCGCACACCTACGCGGGTTGGTTTAATCGAAAGGTTTTCGGTGTACACCGTGTTGTATTTTGTTGGCTCATGCACGAACCGGTGTATAAGAGGCTTGGGTTGACCGTAGGCGTGAATATTTCTTTCACTTGTAAATCTTGGGGGATAAACCGGATGGAGCTACATTGAACAGTTTGTATGGGGGATTCAACAAAAAATGAATGAAAATGTCTGCACTGACCTGTCGATCGATATAGCCATGAGGGTGAAGACACTCGCCGATATAGATATGACCGCGATGTACTGGCTGACCTTGCAGTAGACGTTGCCGAAGGGCCAGTGGCTGTTGAGCATGTAAACGTAGTTGAATATGACGTTGAGGGTCGAGACCATGGTATCGGCGACGCTGAGGTTGACCAAAAAGTAATTAGTCACTGTTCTCATGCGCTTGTGGGTCAACACGATCCAAATGACTATGAGGTTGCCCCCCGTGGACACGATTATCATTATCGCGAAGAGAAACGTCCAGAAGAGCTGCCTCCACAGGGGCAGCCGGAACTTGTTCGAGTACATCTCCTCCTCGGTATCATCCCACCCCGAGCTGTAGTTCTCGTGGGTTGAGAAATCCCTGCTGCCGTTCATGGCCAGAGTCTCGTTTATCAGAGTGCCGAGCAGCCGGTACGCCGTCGGCCATCCCCCCGAGTAGCTCCCGTTGAGCGGGTCCTCGAGGTACGCCAGGCCCCCTGCATCGTAACCTTTTTTTTTTTTTTTTTTTCGCTGATGAGCTTTTCCAAGGTGCTGCAAAGGAAAGAGACTCGTCAGCCGAGAGATCCACCGATGGGCTTACTGGGAATTGGATGCCTCGCTATGCACTTTTGCTCTTTGCAGAGGGGGTTGGGGAGAATCGAGGATTACGGATCAGCTCGAGGGCTTTTACTGTCGACCACGTCGGTCATTTTTTTTTCCTCCAAGATTTTTTATACGGTTTTTATGCGTATAACTTTGTTGCGTTTCACATCTACATTGACGTGGAACAATTAAATTACTATACTTATTTTTTTTTTTTTTTTCCATCTAAGAGAGCAAAGAACGGCGTAAAAAAAAAGAAGAAAAGAATAGATTTTCGGTTGTGGTTTTCCTCTTTCGGTTTCATGGAGTCGTAAGTATTTACTTTGTTTCATCTCACGCGTCGACCCAAATAGTATCCTCGCACTGATTCATATGCGTAACGATCGAGGAGCCCCAAACAAATTCAAGTAGGATTTATTTCCGCCGATAAATAAAAATATCGTGGGCGTGAATGGGCGCTCGTTAATCTTCCTGATCCGCCTGGTAATTGACGTTTCGCCGAATTAAGAGGAAAAACTGTTGAAGAGGCTCATCTACGAATCGATTTATTCCCCCCCCCCCCGATGAGTGGGAACAATAAAAATAAACAATCGACACGTAGCGATTTAGTTCTCGACTCGCGAACTCTGGAGGAGAGATGAAAGATAGACACGAGCAAAAAAAAAAAAAAATAGAAAAGAACGAGGTGGGATGAAGAGAGCAGGTCAGCGGTGTTCGCTACAACACGAAAACTCTCTTTGGAAGAACGGGAGGAAGGAAAAAGGAAGGTGTATCCGCTTGTTCTTTTGCCCCCTTTTCAACCATTGGAAATTTCTCGAGGGCTCCACTCACATTGAAATTTCCGTGCCGAAAAAAAAAAATAAATATACGTATAGTTTGAGACTCACCCTTTCTACTGACCAGCCTTCAGCCGCACGGGGGGTCCCTTGGTAGCTGGCGCTGCTGATTAAACCGTGGCCTCGGCATCTCCTTGGCGCGCCCAATGAGGCGGCCCCTATCCCTTTGAATCCTTTATACGAAATCGCTCGGCAAATTTATATTCTCTTTCTCTTGCGATCGCGCGTCGACACTAATTTTGCGTGCCACCCGGGGAAAGGTAACGAGCTGAGTCAGTTTTTCCCTGCGCGGATCAACAACAACGAGCCTTTGTACAGCTTTGACGGGTATTGTTGCGCCCACCCTCCCTCTTCCGGCAGGTCTGACCGATCGAGCTTTCGATACATCCACCGGCCGAGTAAACAATGAGTCAACAGAGTCCCGGTGCTTGTTTGCTCCCCCACAACCCCCCAGTGTGTAAAAACCAACGCGACCCGCGCTCCGGCAGCAGTACCAACGACAACTACCTCGTGCCCTATTTACACTCGAATTGATAACAACAAGGACTAGGACGAAGATTCTTGTACATTTTAATGCTAAATTATATCCATGGGTATATATATATACATACATACATGTATATGTATTATCTCTCTTAAATTCTACATTAGCGAGGCAGCGCACGAGCTCCGCGACCCGTGCCACCGCGTACACGTAATAATCTACCCTTCAAGCGTTTCGCGTTTTCCCCTCTACCGAGGCTCCTCTGTCTCCTCCGGCTAATCGAATGACCCCCTCCAAAATCCCCTCGGCTTTTACGTCGGGATTCACTGCCTCTTTCCGCGTCCCCGGCTCGCTCTGTCGCACAGTGGCAGCTCTTATCTCCCGATTCCCATCGTCTTACCCTTTACTACGAAATATCCTATTTGGACTTTTTTGTTGGAAAGGAAAAAAACAAAAAACAAAAAACAAATCAACCCCTAGACGGTTGGAAGGACTGTCTGCTGTCTTTGGTTAACGAGTCTCGTTAAAAGTCAGAGATATTTCCACGCCACCGCGAGTCCAGCGGTTACTCGGGTCATTATCTCGCCACCCTCTCTGTGTATGGTTGGCTTTTTCACTCGCTCTATTCTTGTATGCTTTTCGCCACCACCTGGCAATGGATCAACGCCAGAGTGGAAAACTTCACCAGCACAGGGTGGCCAGTAATTAATCGCCAGCCCTTTTCCATTATCCCTCCTTTGCCGCTTTCTTTTATCCGTCGTCGTCTTCGTTGTTGTTGGTTTTCCAAAGCTGCTTATTCCTTCGTGGTGTGGACTACAGGCGCTGCTCCACTTTTTCTCCCCTCCACGCCCACTTCCGTTCCAGGTCGCCGGCTGCACGGCTCGTGGCTCTGTAACGCGAGATTTCAGGCTGAATTTTTTAATAAAATAACAGTGCGGGCCAACGGGCCCGTGTATAATATGCGGACGGTCGGAGGAAAAAGGATAGTTTGCATGCACGCGAGGACCAAAATAAGGGAGGCTAGAAGATTAGGGGGGAGTAGGTGGACGGGCTTGTAGGGATCTTTTTCTTTTTCGTTGGCATACATATGCAGCTGAAAATATGAAATGGGACTTTTAGAGAATTGAATTATACGTTTTGTGTTATTGTTTCGGTATTAAAATATTTGTACGGTTATTTTATTTTTTTTTTTTTTGACAATTATCAAGGCTTGGGTTAGCGAGTCAGTAGAACAAGACAATTTTCGGTCAGGCGTGACCTATACTCATTTAATGTGTACGGTACAGTGTTTCAAAGCAAAACGATCATTAAGTATGCCGATTGTATGCTGATTCGAATGTCGAGCTGTATTTAAATGGCTGTAGCTAGAATATTAATATTAATATTTAATTATAATCAATCGGGATGGCTGTTTCAATGGGCGTTTGTTCGGTTCAGTAAATAAGCTATATCGCTTATGGAGAGGTAGTGGAATGATAATAATAAAATGGCAAACAGATACTTTTTTTATGCAGTCGACCGATGACCAAGGAGTGTAGCACCCATTGTTATCAATATCGAGGGAAAAATGACCATACTAATTAATTTCCAATACAAGTGGAATCTACGTTTGTTTAAAATTAACTTTTGGATGATTCATCGTTGATTTTTACGGGATTTCCTCGAACCAATAAATCCACTGTAAAAATACTAATTGATTTATCGCCTCGTACACTTGGGGGGGGGGGGGGTGCAGTTTGCGCACAATGGATTACACAGAGCGCTAAAGTGGACCCTTATTTACTAAATAAGCTTGATAAATGGCTTTTCTCCTGACACACAAGTACACCAACAACACATGAAAAAAAAAGGGGGGGATAAATTAAAAACATGCTCCGTGCCGTTACTAGCGTCAAGTAAAAATACTAAAAGGTATGCGAGAGCAGAAAAAAAATGCTAACGCAATTTATTGCCCCTTTTCATCCACAAAATGCTGGTGTTTTCACCCAAAAGTAATCTCTCGTGTAAAATAAAATGCTCGAGTTGACGAACATGTGTATTTAGAGTCACACGACAAAATGTAACGCGTAAGTGAAGCAAATCAACGTATGGTCAGCCAAATGAGTGTTCGCCCTACTGCAACCCCGTAATGATTTCACGTGACCGTACGCGTCCACAATTTTGCGAAACTACCATCGAAAAGTTGCATCGCGTCTCTTCCCACTGTACGAAGCAGAGGTAAACAGTCCTACCAACTACACGACCAGTCCTCGGGGAAAATTAACTACGTCAATTTGCCGCCCAACCGATATATTTACCAAAGAGACCGTTTCTTCTGTAACCTACGACCCTGTATCCTTCGTTTTCTTTCGCTCGTTTCGGGGAGTACAACTGCATACGTGTGTACATACACACACGGACGCGGTACAAATATCTACATAAACTGTTGGTTTAACGCGCCATCGACTCGCTCCTACAATTGGGGTTTTTCTAGGGGAAGCAGCGAGGAGAACAATATTTGTGCACGGGCAGGGGTGGGGAAAAAAAGGTAAAAGCACACGTGGAGGGTGCACTTTATAGACGCGAGCTTGCACGGGATATGAATAAACGCACGGGGGAGGAAGAGGATAAGCCGTATTTGGCCTCGTGCGTTATTGCCGAGGCGCGTATACGTCGTGTGATGCTTATATTCCATATCCAACGTATTCTGCGTGAATTACCTTGGGCTCGCGTGGCACATGCGCATCGCGCGTAAGTGCCTGTACAGGCATATCCCCGGGAAAAGCTCACGTGTCGCGGTGTATACGAGGGCCACCGCGTGCGAGATGATTCGCCGAGATATGCAAGGGGATATAGGAAATGGAAAACTTTAGCATTCAGGGAGCGGATCCCTTTCATAGTCTCGGTGAAATTAAAAAATTCCTCCTACGCTCCGCTATATCCAGTCGAGGGAGGCGTGTTTTTTTTTTATACCTGTGTGAGCTTCGCTTCGGATGCGTATACATGAGAGATCAAGTCGTACGGGGGATAATTTCGCGCTTTTGGAAAATGATTTGACGAGGAAATGTCGCTACCAACTGAATCTTCCACCGATGTTCACGTACCATTCGTAGCTGTAGATAAAACGTAAGAAAAATCACAAGCCCCGCGTACTTTGTATTCCAGCGAGTGGAAGGAGAGATAAGAGCAGTCGTCGTGGTCGTGGTTATCTCGACGGGGAGCGGCAGAACCGAAAAAAGCGATTTTTCATGCCACACGCAAAGTGTGTCGGGAGTACCCGAGTATATATAAGTGGCCGGTATCGCGGCCCAAGATCGCATATATACGTACGTGCCTCGTTATATTTTAGAACACCAGCTGCTGCTTCGGTAGACCTGCACGTGTATATTATCCCCCGTACCTCGTGTATTGGTGTACACTGCGAAGATAAGACGACGATGCAAATGAAGCCGCTTAGGTTTTTTATTTGTACCACCGTACATATGTATATGTCCATGGGCACGATGTACCGTAGTGGTGGGTGGAAATAAATAACAAACAATATAATGCAATAACTTGATTTTCTCGTCTTGCGGTGCACTCTATACCGAGGGACCGTTACCTCTTGCGTTTGTATTATACCCGCGTGTCCTGACTCTGTCGTCGGATGAGTAATGTTGATAAAGTGTACATATTTCACGACAAGGGGAGAGACAGTCACGCGTGTGTGCACCCCATGGCACGGCTATATCATTTGACGGTGCGTACGTGATTGGTGTGGTGAGCCGGTATAGTCAAGACGGATTTCAAGTTAGTTCGTTAAAACTGATGTATAGGATCATCGTGTCACGAGCTTCACTGCTCCCATAAGGTATATATATATATATCCTGATGGAAAATTGCCCTTTATTTTTTTTTTTTTTTTTTGCTTTCGTCTCGCAGGTACGAGGAACAGTTGGTGTATAATGACGCGAGTTTGATACAGGTACCGTCTCGATTATTGGAGAGAGAAGCTTTTTCGCGAGTACGTGAAATTACTGTTTCTTGAAAAATTCTGCCCGTGTCGAGGTACAAAGTTTCCATTAGCGATATTAGTTTGTTGGTGCTTTTCATTTAATTCCAAACATTTTTATAACTCGAGTCCGGGTGGGGAACGCGAGCTCAAATATTTTGCCATTTTTTTTTTTTTATTCATTCGCTCCGAGCGCGGCTGACTCTATTGTGTTTGTACCGAGAACCGCATTCTTTTACATCAAAGCGCTCGTTTTGCGAATCCTTTGGAACGATATCACAAGAATGTGGGGCGAAAACAAGGAAGCAGGACACGATGGCATCGCCTCCGAAACGAACATTGAAAGGATTTTTTTTTTTTTTTAATAACAACGAGTATTTTTTGCAAAAATAGAAACACAAGGTTTTTAAGCAAGAGGGAATCAAATGATATTTACGCTACGTGGATCTTTCCGTGGAAATGCGATACTTTTTTTTTTTAAAGATACGCCCAGTCGATGACTATACAGCCAAAAGACGAAGAGAGGCTCGAGGTTCAATATTTGCCACTACTAATCGAACGCAAACAAACACAAGGGAGACTACTCCCCTTTGCGGTCGGCGTGAAACAAAAAATCCCCACAATCCTACTCGAACCCTATCGGGTATTTTTAGCCCAAAAAGCCCGACTAATCCCAGGAATAGCAAACAGAGGAGCAAAAAATAAATAAGTATCGCCTCGAGGAGAAAAGTCCCGGAAAGTTGTATGTATCCAGGAAAGGACGGGGCACGAACTTCCGAGCAACTTTCGGGGACGCTCGAGAGACATCGAGAACATTGGGGCCACGCGCTGGCCCCACGTGTAGGTATACAGTTATACACATATACCCGCACGGCGGAGACGAGAAAGGGAATTCCCAAAGTGTCCCATACCCGTGCACAGAGGCATTCCCGAGGACTCGAGCTTCCCTCGAGCGTGTACCTGCACACACGAGCGGGCGCTATCGCGTCAAAGAGCCACAAACAACTTTATGTTATTGTAATTAATTTTTTTTTTTTTTTTTACATACATAAAACTCATCGAGCCAAACGTCAATGTAGGTATGTTTAGCACATAGGCATCACGCACAATCGGGTAAATCTCTCTCGTCCCGAGAGAGAGTAATACCGAGGTAATGGATACCCTGCACACATGTGTACACGAATATATGGTATACCAAGCATGGTTTGCCTGGTGTACAACGCAGCTATGCTCTGTGCGGCCGATTACGTGTATGCACATGTATATATAGGTACCGGAAAAGGCTTGTACCCAACACTGTTAATAGACTCCCGCCCGATAATGGAGCGTACCTACGTAGGCAGGACTAGGTTCTATCCCTCGCTGCCACGTGTACATGTGTGCGACACACGTGTGGGTACTGGTATATATACGCGATGTATATCTCCGGAGAGTGGCTCGGGAGAGTGTTTGGAGCATTAGAACGGGGTAGAGAGAGAGAGAGAGAGGGTGTGCACGAGTGAATTTTTTTTTTTTTTACGCCCGAGGAAGCGGAGGGTGGCTCTCGCCCGATGAGCTCTCGCCGTGTGTATACGTACGTATACCCACCTGCACTCTGTCGGCTGCTTGATTATTTCGAGGGAAAAAGAGGAGCCGGCGTCGCACATGGAAGAAGTTTCTTACGGCGTTAGTCCTTTTTTTTTTTTTTTGTTTTTTATTTCGTCGAGATGTGGGTGATGAGAGAGAAAAAAATATGTTTTTTCCGAGGCCGCACTCCCGAGATCATTGCACCCGAGCGGACAAGCGTTTGCATTTTCGTCCCGATGCCATTATCTTAGCTCCGGGGCCAATTTTTCATTTTCCCGGGATTTACGAAACACGCGCGTCGGAGGTAGGTGGTCGATTGAATTGTACTTCTCCCCCTGGTGTGGCCATCGAGG